CGCTTACCAGTTACCGTCACTTGGAAATATCAAGGGAATATGCCTAACCGATATGAACCACGACCATCTATAATGTGGTACACTAATCGCGGTCTGTTAATCGTACATCCGAAAGTATAGATGGTTTGACCATGAATAAATTGAAGATAATGTATGTAAAGATCGTATCGATTGACGATTACGCACTCGGATATTATGTACAATATATTAATATATATAAAAATAAATGTCATATCGAATCGTCGTGAGACACGCGTTTAGTATATATACTATATAGTTATTATTTATAATAATATGTATCCTATCGCGTAAAATTATCACCTAAAGGTATATATTTACGCGAGTATATAGGTATACTGGTCTTCTTCAAAACGGTAATATAACACGATATTAAAGTATATACCTCGACCGTTTTATTTTTTATTACTCTGTGTACAGCATAATTTTGTGTGCTTAATACTGGTTACATTATAATATTACATATTATAAATAATGTAGACGGCGATTGCAGACTTAGGACGATTTTTTTTTTTTTTATTTTACGACAGAAGTTAACGATAATTGCGATTGCCGGTACACACACACACACACGGATATACCTATATAATATTATTGCCGAGCACCATGTTTAAACGTTTTATTTTATTTCGTTTTTATTTGAAACGGGTGTCGTATATAAATAAAAATATAAATTTAGATTAAAAAAACAAAATAATATATGTCGAATCGCGAAACCGCGTATTGGCGCAACGACTTAATGTGTTCGGTCGGGCCTGGGTGGAAATAAAATATTACCAGTTAGTAGTTTTAATTCGTATAATATTATATATTATAGCCTATAGGTAGGTACGTGGATAACATTAAAATTTCGTGTTATTCGTTTGGTCGCGTTAAATTTTATAGCTATAAAGATTCCCCCCCCCCTACAAATTTACCGCGTGTCGGTTGGCCAATATAATATATTATAATATAATGATATTTACTAACTACGACATTTTAATATATTTTAAACGAAATACGAAGAATTGCACGGCGTTTTTGTAAGCAACTCGTCGTACACGACGACAAGTTTTCCGGAGTTGGAGGTTCGCTTAAAGTGACTATCTATGCCTATCCAAAAACTATCGATTCCAGCCTAGGGATAACCCATCATACAACGGAATGATCACAAGTCATCGTTTTGACGTTTTCGAACACTGCCTGCGAGACGACGTCGTATATTAGTTATATTATATTGACACACTTTATATACAGTCACTAAATTGATTTCGATTTTTCTTTTATTATTTTCGTGTCTGCCAACTCCACGAATATAATAATAATAATAATGAAAAAAATACGAAATAAACCCGACGACTTGACGCTTGTGGCTCTTAAATTCCACGATTCGATATTTATCGCGTTAATCGGGGATCACGAACGACCGAAGTCTCGAATGACAGACGGCCGCCAGTGGTCTTCAACGAGTGTGCGACATTATTGCCAAGGCTGCTGTGCCATTCTTAGCAGTTTTATGGGAAAACGGGGGTGGAAAATGATGGTGAGGGGGGAGAAGAATGGAACCGAAACTCATTTTACAACCAAGCGAATTTTATGTTTACCACTGTGCTGTATAATAATTGAATTCCTAACGCAAACGCGTATTATTATTATTATCTTACATGTTTTATTGTCGTCTTTGCCTTTGTCCTACACTATGTATATACTGGCACACTGTGGCAGATATGGCAAAATCTAATCTATTTATGTACTGTTCGATTTTGTATTATCCGGCAAACTCGAAAATATTGTTATGTGCGTTTTTATAATATGTAGTATAAATTGTATAATTTTTCCAAAAAGATTTCGATATAAACGGTAGGTACACGTCGGGCTTGGATTTATTTGCGATCCAAAATATGCACACAGTTTTCTTTATTACATTATTGCTGAATCCTCGAAAACAATAAATAATATATTATATGATCGTGCACCCAAATGCAATAAATGCCAAGCCGCCTAATAACTCAGCGCATAATCCAAGACTATACCTGGAATATCAAAAGATACGAAATAACCTATCCACACCATGACCGCATGTACTCAAGAAGTCAAGAATCCGGAAGATAAACGAAAAAGCCAACACTAAGACCCTGGATTTTCCAATTAAAATACACATTTTGAATAAATTCTAAAGTTGTAAATATAACACCGGTCCTAGGTATTTTGTAACCCAAACATAATTTATCATGTTTAAAATTATTGTAATTTGTTTATATAAATGTTCACTGTAGGCTAATAAGTTATAACCACAGACCTATAAGCTAATGGACAGCACTAAGAGAGAGAAACCAGTTGATGAGATAGAAAGAACTTTTGGAACGTTACAGTGTTTTCTCTGTCACTTGTCTGGTCCCCTAGAACGGTTTTAGCCGGTAGGGACTGTTCGCCTGTTCGTTATAGTTTATAAGTATATGCTAACAAATTACACTAATTATTATTATTATATTAGTAATAAGTATCTAATAAGACTTTTTACTTTGTAGATTTATTAATAACCAAAGAACATTCATAAAAATAGTATTTATAACTTAGTCCCCTTACACTTACACACTAATATGTTCATTTACGGTGTAGTACCTACTTACATATTTACATAACCTGCATAGTGAATGCAGAATATTACCTATATTGAATGTTTGAAAAACGGTCGATATTGAATCCGTTTAACTGTGAATATAAAAAAAAAAGTTATGAGATGATTTTATTTATTTATTGATAATATATAGGTACGCCCTGACGGTGCCAGTACATTAAATACAAGCAAGTATAAATAATACTTAATTATATTGATATAGATTTGAGTAAACAACTATTAACATAGAGGCTAATGCGAGTTAAGGTAAAGTGAACTTAATTAAAACCTCAAACTATAATAAGTTAAGTTTATAAGTTTAAATTAAGGCATAATACTATTAATAATAACGGACAATAAGCCAGATGCAAGTCTGGTCTTGCAAAAAATATGCAAAGACATTTGACTTTGAACACAAATCATTTGTCAACACTTTTTGACCAGAAGGTTAATTCAAAACCAACCGTTAACGACCAGCACACAATTCAGAAATTTACTAAATAATCGCAATCCTAAAGTAATGAGCCGATAGTGTATTAAAAACTGACGAAAGAAAGTTAATGATCAGGTCGACAAACCGATAAAAAATAAAATGGGACACACCAAAAATAATGAAAATACAATCATAAATGTAAAAGCAGTTAGCAGAGGATTACCTATAAAAGTTTATTGAAACAAATCCTATTTTTGTCTATAGGATAATAACAATTATGAATTAATAATAATCATGAAAGTATTTAAATAAAAAATAGTCTACTTTCTTAGTTTATATGCTATAAAGATGATATCAACAAATCTGATTAATTCTCTGCTTTTATATTAATGGTTGTATATGTTTCATTGTTTTTCGTGCAGTGTCGACTTAATATTGCGTTTTCTAAGTTGTAACTGGTGTATTTAAAATGTCTACTTGGATTAGGGATTTCAATCAAATTTTGTTCGACATAATGTATCTCGTTATAATTGTTATAAACAATGGACATAATATGTTATGTTATTCCTTAGTTTATTAGACACTGAAATCTCATGGTTCGAATTTATTAGGTCAATTGTTACTGGTTCGTTTTTAGTTCTAACTGTATATAATATAGCATGACCATTGACCATCATTCATGGATTTTCGTTGCCCTAATCAAGTTTTATTTCGTTAAATTAATGCTGACTATTTTTCCCTATTACCCCAACTTTAGTTTCGGTGACCATATACAATGGTGTGTGAGCATGTCGGTACATCCACCCTGTATACAGGTTTCGCACTCGTTATAATACTCATGTATTATAATAATTGGCCACAACTACCGCGAAACACATACTAACCTAACATATGGTTTTAGCGTCATTCGATTATTATACATTATAATATAGTTGCGCGTTTCCATAATTACGAAACGGAGTGTGAAAAAAAATCTAATCAAATAACGGTTTACACGACGAAACACTGTTAAAAACTATAAATTATTGAGTTCCGTACGCATCAACAATAAAAATATATTATAGAACAGTCTGAACGTACCAAGTGAATCGCAGTGAGTTAATAATAGTAATGCTCGTTGTATAATACCTGCATAATTCATATTATTATAATATTCAGTGCCCTAGGGCAGCAGTGGCGTATTCGAGGGTGTGTGGACGTTGGGCAGAGGTATTCAAACGTTTTCCTCCCTTGGCTCCTTTGTGTGTTAACAATATTTTTACGGTTCTCAAATTATTATGAAAAAATTAGAACAATACGCATACGATATTATAGCCAATATGGGTGATAGTAACAGTGTCTTTAGTACTAGAAATAAAACCTCAAATAGTCGGGTAACGTGTTTCATTATCGTTTCCATAATCACTATAATGATTACAAATAATTTCGATATTAATTATACTTGACCTACATTAATTTTGGTGTCCGGTGCTTTGACGAGGATCCACTGGACAACTCTCGCACAGTTTAAATACCTCTGCAATAGAGCAACATTTGAATTGAAACGAAGACGTCAACCTTCATAATATCCATCACTGCTGCTGCTGCAAGTAGTTTTGTAGTCAGTGTATTCTCAGAATCAACCATTTGGGCCTTCTAGCATTAATTATTGTTGTTATTTGATATTCTGTGACAAAATATTTAAATATCTATTAACCTAACCTAACCTATCTCGTGTTTTTGCTGCACAATAAAAATACTCATATCTAGGAAAAATATTTTCTTGAAATGTCGAAATTAAAAAAAAAAATAGTTAAAAGGACCCACATGCTTCCAATCCTACACCTCTCCTCTCTTCATGCGTACGCCACTGATTATAGTACACTGATAATATCTATCTTCTTCCGATTAAAAAACAAGTAAAACTCATTGGCATATTATATTATAATAATAATAATATAGTACCTGCTCTGCATGCCATCGTCAAAGGGCAAGGCGAACCGGAAAGACACGACTACGAACTTTCTTCGGCTGTTCCATGGTGGAAGGGCCGATCATCGCGTGGTCACCAGACAAGACCTGACCACAAATTACCCCGATAATGATGACTGTCCGCGGACTTCCAACTCTGATGGCGAGGTCACCATCAATAATTATTACACGTGGAACTCGTCCAGAACAAACTCTTCCATACACAAGTATGCACATTGCACTCGTATGAGTGCTGATAATATATTGTAATAATTATAAAATAATACGTAATATAATTAAGTGCGTCGTGTGTGGTGACTGGTGAGTGAACACAAAATGAGGTCCTAGAAATTAAATTGTAACAGTAACTATAAGCCTGACAATTTATGATAAACAGAAATAATATTTTAGCCTTCACCACGAATTAAGATATACAGGATGCCGAACGACACCCCTTTATCAGTATTTTTGCGAAGTCGAAAGTTTCCAGGTTCCCAAATTAACTTATGGCGCCGAAATGGTTACGGTGGCGAAATCCTTAACTAATTTTGTATGATTACGACTATCAAGTATCATAATAAATATAATCACATATTCACATAAGTAAAATATTAATTATTACCTAAGATGGTATACAAGACATATTTCTCAACAATTGAATAATATTATAATAGGTTCAATAAAAGTTTTCTTTGATATAATAACAATTCATTTAATAGGTATGCAAAATACTTTTTTATTGATTTTAAGTACAAGTGTCATAAAATTCAATTTGTATGAATAAAACTGTTTAAAAACTTTTAACAAAACAATTTAATAAACTAACTTCTTAAGTAATCAATTTTTAAACTATACTTACTGAATATTTATTTTCTGCTGTACCTGATTCCCAAGTACTAACAATATCATTTTTCAAAAAATGAGCACCACATATTTTTGAATTTGGTTTTAATGGTACACCTATTACTTCCTCCCATTTTAAAAACAAATCTTTTGGTATACCAAATCTCGACTTGTGAGTTGATGTACAATGTGGTACACAGCATTTGACAGGGTAATATTTAGACATAACTAGTGTAACTAAATATACTTACCTGGTATATACTATTTGGGTATAAAAATTTACTCCTTATTAAACGAACGTTAATAATTAATAGCTCATAGTCTGTATTATAATCGTTTAAATAAGTAAAATCAGTTGATTTAATACAAGCATGAGGACATTACATTGTATACTATGAAGCTTGCTAAGCTTAGCCACAAATATCTTATCAACTCTATTTTTATTCGTTTTCAGGCCCGATACCAAAATTAAATATTAATCAATTTATCATATTTTATATCTTTATTTACATCCATTCATCATCATTCATAATATTCATAATGCATTTTATGATCTAATAATTACATATCCAACATTAATACAATTTCATAAAAGTAGCGGGAAATTAATATGATGATAATCTTTACGATAAAGATACGTAAAACTATAATTCTTGCTAGATAGTAGCATTGTTTTAGTTCATTAAACACCACTGTGGCTAAAAGCGCTATAAGTCATTCTGGATTTTTGGAAACTTCCGTCTTTACCTGATAAGCTCTCGTTCGGCATCCTGTATATTATCTTAATTCGTGGTCTTCACTGTTGATATGGCCATACAAATAATATACAATATTGTGCCTAGTTCCTACCTATATTCCATTGGATTTCAGAAAAACCATAAAATGTAGATAGTATAATACCAAAATATTATAATAGTCGTAAATTTTTAATAAATAATAATATGGGAAACGCATCACATATGATATTAGCACAGATAATATAAATTATATTAATGCCAGCGTAGATAAGCAACATTAGCCATTGGGTTATAAATCTGATAAGTCATAACAAGTATATTAATAGATTTATTCCATTCTGTATTCAATAATAAACAAAAATCAAATGGGTACAAACGATTACAATTTGGTACACAGTAGTACATTCAACATTGAGCTTACATAATTGCTATATCTTATTAGTTACCCACTACTTAATAGTAATTATATTCTGTTCAAACTAATAAAATAGGTACCTATCTGTTATAATACTATAGTTATACATGGTCTGTACTCTATATTATATTATTATTACTTTTTTTTCTAATAAAAATGTATTTATACTAAGTTTATAGTATTTAAATACAAGTATTTACATTTCGTTAAAAATACTTTTAAAAAGTATTCAGAATCTTAAAAAATACTTCAAAAAGTATTTTAATACAAGTATTCAAATACTTGAATTCGAATACTTTACAAGACTGGTAATAATATGATAATATGATAATAATTTAATGACGTCTTACAGTGGCAATGGTTCGGTATATAGAGATGTGGCATAAAAGTTCCAAGAGCCGTTCGTTGGTGTTTTCAAATAATTTCCGTTTTAGTAATATTTATTTAAAAAAAAAAATAATAACAATATCTAAGAGAAAAACATATCCGTGATAACTAGTCATAGTTATTTTTAGCCAAAATTCGGGTAAATTCGAAAAAATTCTCACCCCCTTTATTTAAATAATGTTTTATACGCATTAATGCATTATAATAATAATATATGACCACTCTTATTATAGGTATCGTTAACGAATCCTCGACATATCTTAATTCATTCGCCAACCGTGGTATCGTATAAAATATCATGTTTCGTTATACGTATTTTTAATACAATAGGTAAAAAAAAACATTATATTCCTGCAGTACAGTACACACACTTAATTATTCTTCTAGTCGTTTAAATTAAAACTAATGCAAGGCCATTCCCAGCTTAGAATAATAGTAGGTACCCATAACGTTTTCTCAAAACGTATTCTACATCCTATAGACGCGTAGTGACACATCCCCTGCTGCTTTTTTTTGTCAATTTAAGCATATTTTATACTTGTATTATGTATTTATGTCAAATTAGTTTGAATATCTTTTTAATGTACCCTTGTATAACCCATATTCTTGAAGGTAGCCTTCAGAGTTCAGTCGTTCAGTTAGACTACTGCTGTAGTGTTCAAAGCAATTTCTTGAGCTATATGTGGGTATAAGTACATATACAAAAAATAGATAAGATCTGATAAAATATGTTCACAAAATATGGTTATCGTTATGGCTAAAGGTTATATAACCTATATAGAATTTACCTAAGTAAATTAATCATGCTTTAACGGTTTAAATATGATTTTGTTTTTAAATTAAAATTTTTCCTATGCAATTGCCCACATTAAACCTCTTTAGCGGACGCCACACGGCAGACGCTCACTTTTTAAGGGGTACAATTAATTTAAAAAAAACGTATTGACGTGGTTCCAATACCTACAAATGCGAACTATTGTTGGTTATTGTGTTGTTGCAAAATAATATCAAAAAACGGTTTCATGTGAGAAAAAATTGAGAAGGCATGTTGTAACTTGTAGATGGAGTATAGAATCTAAATTATTACTATAAAAAGTGGTGGACTTTGATCGTGCAATATCGTTATTTTTGATTTCACTTAAATAAGTAAATTATCTATTATTATTAATCTATTATATAATATATATTATAGGTTTAAATAGTTAATATTCAAATTTGTGGGTAATATTTTTTGTGATATTATTCATACTAATAATAATATGAGTTATAACTCATAACATAGATTAATCATTATAAGTATTTAAATAAATATATATTTCACATATTAAGTGAACAATTACCACATAAGTCATAAATAATTAATAAAAAAACGTAAAAATAGTAATGATTATAATAATAAAGACGAGTTATATAATAATCATCTAAAATTCTAAAATATATAAATGTAAAACCAATCAAATCATATCACTTTTACCTACCTATATATAGTTTTTTGTCAAAAACCCCAAAATAATAAGACACGTTTTCTACATAATCATCCATAGACATTTCATTATTATTATATTTTGAGTACAGGACAGTCGCGTCGTGGAGTCACGGAACGCTTGGTTTAAAAATATTTATTTTCATTAAAAATCCATTTTTGTACCTGAATAATATAATATGTACGGGCGGAATTTACATGTACCTTTTTTACCAGGATATTTTCCCGGGTGGAATTTACCATCATAGACCTTATTTGTACCTATTCACTTCGGGCTGAATTTACAATCCTCCATAATTATATATTATGCTATGTTGGCGATGTGCAGGGAGAGGGCGGAAATCGTGTCAGCACTGCACTCGGTCAAGTCAGCGTCGGAGCTGCATCGCGGCCTGTCGACGTGCAACAGTTCCACCAGGTCGCACAGGTTGAGGGAAATCATGTCAATGTGCGCGGACCGCCGTGGCGATTTTTCCACGGACGAGTACCACCGCCACGACCACGGTAACAGCGGTAACGACCAGGCCGACGACGTGGCTTCGGCCTGGTCGACCAGCGGAGCGACCGCGGACCGACGTAGTTGGTCGTCGTCGTACATCGGTGGCGGGGCACGTTGCTGGTCGTGTACAGCCACCGATCGCGAGTCTGACGACGATGAAGACATCAACGACGACGAACCTAACAACAACTTGACAGCGGACGAGGCACACGGCCGGCGGACGACCGATAGTCGTCGGTTGTCTTGGGTACAAAAGTTGAACCAGAAGTTCAGAAACAGTCGGGACAGCAGATAACATGATGTACAAATGTATTATAGTATACAAATATACTCTAAATTATAATAATATATTATTAATATAATCTTATAAAGTTATAAGATGAGAGTGATGTACTGTACATTAGTGTAACCGTACTATCTATATAATAATAATAGTAATAACAATCGCAATGTCTGCAGTGAGATGAAAACAAGTTTCTAAATAGCAAAAGTAATAATAACAAAGTAAAACTAAAAAAGCAAAATCTAAAGCAAAAAATATTTATTTTTATTTAGAAATACACACATTTTGTAAGTAATTTTTTTTATTTTATTGTTATTCTTTATTTTTATTAATTTTTCTATGTTCTGCTGCTACTGTTAAACTTATTATCCTTAATCATTATTTTAAATGGAATTTTTCTTATGAATAAGTAAAACAATAATTTTTTATACATAGGTATAGGTATAGGTATGCATAGGTAATGAAGGAAGTCGTAACAAAAAATACTTGTTGAAAAACAATTATTACAAGTATTATTAAAATTTTTATCGTTATCATTATGTTTTTAAAGTCTTTCTATTTCTTGTACAACATCATATAGTTTTTATTTCATATTCTTAAGCAGAATATTTTTCCTAGAATTTCAATGTATAAAAGGTGGGTAAGTGGGTACCGCTCTGCTATACAGAAACAGGTGTCGCGTCACTAGTGTTTGTCACTGTAATGTATGTGTTGAATTTTAATTCAATGATATAAATTATAATGTATTAAAATAAGTGTATACGAAAAACGATTCTGAGCGAAAACTATCTATAGGCCTATATTATATTACTATTTAATATTTACTAATTATAATATATTTAATGATATTGTTTTATACTATTATAGTAATTGATTTTACCATAGTCTATAAGACAGTATAAATAAGCATACAGTAGGTAGGTTAAATTAACTTTTTATGAAAACATTTAACTTGAAAATGTCATTGAGTGTTAGGTGTATAAAATAATATAATTTAAAAGTTAAAATCTTAGATATAGAAAGAAAATATTTTATGATTTCCATAACTACAAAATAATTTGAGCATTTTTGCAATTTTAACGATTTTCGTGAACATTTTTCGTTGACATTAATGATGAAATTAAAATATATTGTCTTGAAAAAAGTAAAAACTTAAACATTTATAATCATGGATAAACTTCAATCACAGAAAAAAAAATATTTCCAAAAACGTAAATACATCGACAAAATGAGTGTATATGTTTCAAATTATACCCGCGTCGGGCCGCGTGTAATATTAAGCTGCAAATATTTACCTATATTATGTATTTCAGCTATAAACTGTAACGTCGTCAGGCAGGCTGAGACGATTATCTGATGCTGTTGTTGCTGCACGGGATAACAGTGTAGTACTGCTTTCTACTTTCTAGTTTCTATACTTAAATATTAAATGTCATCAATTATAGTATATAGGTGCCTACTCAAAATCTATCTATCATTTTTTGAAAATAATAACATTAATTTCTTAGCTTTAAACGCACAACAAATTTTAATTATTTATATTTTTTCGGTTTTATATCATTAATTTTTAGTAAGTTCTGAAATTTTACCCGGGTACAGGTACTGTTTTTTGATACGTCCTTACATCAATTATAATTACGAACATATAAAAAATTGTCACGAGCTTGGAAACATTTTAAAAATTACTACATTAATTAAACTCGTATTATTGCCAAAAAGCAGTAGTGCAGCGCATTAAGGTCGAACACGCAGCAGGGAGTCAAAACAAAGTTTGGCTTGTCTACTCCTAAAATTAAAATCTATAGATAACGCAAAATTAATTTAATACATATGTTTATATACTAACCGAATTACCCGGCGTTGGCCGGAAAAAATTATGATTGTTCAACTCCTTTTGGGTGTTACATGAGCTGTGGAATCAATGTCTTTTTGAATGTATAAATAATATTATATTTTAATGTATCGCCATCAAGACCGGCGTTGTCAGTGAGATTCGCAGCAGTATATTATCTGCAGTTAGACTATCTACCTGCAGTATATCGTGGACCACGTGTGGTTTGTACGTAAGTATATAATTTAACTCTAAAGTATCAAAGTTATACCAAGTTGGTCGTTTTTACTTAATTCAATCTACGGCGGATTAATACAATCAATTAATACAAAATTCTTACCTAACGGTACTAAAATCCTATGAATAAAAATAAAATAAAACATTCGTATGTATATAGACTTTAGGTAAAGAAGAAAAACAACGCAAAAAATTGGTCCACCGAAACCTTGGTTCGAACTTAATTCTGTACGAAAATACATATAAGTTCCACTGCGCCAACACTTGTATCACCTAAACAATTATTAAAATCAATAGCAACAATTTACAAACACACATTTTCATCGTAAATCTCAAAATCCCTGTTTGAGCACTTACCCGTGTTGGACCTCTAAAATTAGAAATTTTATAAATTGTATTTTTATTTGTGTTAAAAAAATTTCAATGTTTCACGGTTTTGTGAAATATTTCATACTTCAAACACTAATTATAGGCTTGCAGACTGTCTTCGCTCAGAATAGTTTTTTGTATACAATGATTTTACGTACACTACTACACTATTTTTTTTTAAATTTATTATGTTCGCCAATTTTGTTGCATATTTATTTATTTTTCTTGCCTTTAAGTTTGTTTCTTGTTTCAAATATATTTCACATCGGATCTCTTTTTCGATTATTAAGAATAACTCAGATGATGATAATAATAATAAAATATTTTTGCAGGCGTCATACAATTCAGAAACATATGTTAGCATAACATTCAACATATGTATATATAGTTCGTTTTGATGTAGAAGAAAATTATATTATATACTTTTTTGGTGGAAAACCTGCAGTCAGTGATCATAATAATATCTAAAATGGAAACCAATCTGAACTGTTGTATGATACTTATATTGTATGATGATAAGTAATTTTTTTCGGGAACCAACACTTAATTTTGACCAGGAAACCGATTCTCAGTATTTTCCAATTAATCATGAGGTGCACCGCGACTGCGATCGTCGTTTAATTTTTTTCATTCTCGCGCATATTATATACGTCCACGTCATAGATATTCGTCCTTCATAGTTCTTCATACCGTATACATTTTGCATGTGTATACTTCCTATATAAAATATAAATTATAATAATAATTTATAGTAATAACTAGTAAGTAGGTAAGCGAACGCCATTTGCATATTTCGGACGGGTCGCTGCCGACAGTAAAAATAATAAAAGTACCTAACATAATACAAATTATAATATTATTACGTACCTACACCATAATATTTTCAGATAATATGTGCAACAGTATGTGCTGGACTTTAGTATACAGGGTGATTCACCAAGCATTCCAACCCTCTTTTTTCGTTTAATATTGCATTTATTCAAATTTGGATTTTTGGATTTTTCATGCGTGTACCCACCTAAAGTCATCTTTTAAATAGTTAGATTTTTTATACAATATATATCAGGAATGTTTTTTGGCGATACAATATTTGATTCTTCAAATGAGAACCTCCCTTTGCTACTGAAAACTGTTAATTTTTTTTGAATTTTGTCGTATATAAATTAAAATTTGAACGAGTATAGTTTCTGAGTAGTGAGTTGTGTATTATATAAATGTTTATAAGTACCTACTTATTTGATTCTTCAAATGAGAACCTCCCTTTGCTACTGTAAACTCTTAACTGTTAAGTGGATAATTTTTTTTGAATTTTGTCGTATATAAATTAAAATTTGAACGAGTATAGTTTCTGAGTAGTGAGTTGTGTATTATATAAATGTTTATAAGTACCTACTTATTTGATTCTTCAAATGAGAACCTCCCTTTGCTACTGTAAACTGTTAACTGTTAAGTGGATAATTTTTTTTGAATTTTGTCGTATGTAAATTAAAATTTGAACGAGTATAGTTTCTGAGTAGTGAGTTGTGTATTATATAAATGTTTATAAGTAGGTACGTACCTAACTACTGGTTTCTAAAGATATTGATCCTTAAAAACTACTCGTTAACATTTTTAAATAGATACATAAAAAATGCCTAAAACATATCACCAGCTGCTAAATAATTTACAGTAAAAAAAATTATGGTTGTCATTCGAAAATCAAGTTATTTATCGATACAATACACTCCTTAAATATTATAAATAAATCTAATTAAAAATATGTTATAATTTTAGTAAGTACCTTCCTATATGTATATAATATTATACTTAAAAATTATAAAAATTATGATTGTAGTATATTATGCATTATTAAATTAAAAAGAGGATGGCGAACATACTATTGTTGAAACACACTGTATAAATCATAATAATATAATATATCGCTCATTAAAATTTCTTAAAATGTTCTATAGTATTAGATGTAATATATTATATAACTACATAAGTGCCTAGGTACGAGGGACCTATATATTGAGCATATGGCATATCTTATATTGATTGTGAACGGGTGGGTAGGTGTGTGTATTTTTTTTTAGCCACGTGAACATAATAATTTATTCAATATTCATAGTATAATAATATAATATATTACCTTTGGGCCTGGTGCCCGTTATATAAATAAATAATAATAATAAATAATAAAAATAATATTAAATTATAATTATACATTATTGCATGAGAAGGCTGTCGTCGAGCGATCGGCTCGACGAAACGGTAAAAACGCGTTTTGTAATTTCCGAGAAACCATTTCTTTGGCGTTTTTTTCTACATTTTAGTTTTTAGGCATTATTTTTTTTTAAGTATTAATAATGTTGTACCAGGGACTGGAACCTTTTGAATGTACCGGTATCGGTTCTAGTACGGGCTCTCCAAAAATAAAATAACTGTTCCGGTTTCTCGATGAAAAAATAAATAAAGGTATCAGTTCTAGATAGTTTCGGTACCAGTTCCAGTTAATTTTTAGTAGATAGGGAAACATTGGACAGGGACAGGATGAGTATACGAGGTAAGATGCAACAGCGTTTTCCTCCATAAT